TGATAGTAAAATAATAACAAATAAAATGATATGTCATAAGAAATATAACCATTGGGAATTCTAAAACAAATGTAAAACTCTACATGACAGCCAGGCTGAAAAGATAGTTTTTTAGTCTATGTTTGAAAATATCTAAATATCTTCAGCTCCATGGTCTATGGTTCTGAAGCAGGTGCTGTGTGGGATCTGGTTGGGATGTCTTATAACGCCCCCTTGAGCTCTGAGTTGAAATTACAGTTAAATATTTCCTCCTGTCTTATCTCCAGTGCCTCCAAAGCCACTGCACCTCCAGAGCCCAGTGACGGAGCTCTCGTCCCCACTGGGCCGCACCAAGAAACCATCACTTAGAAGGGGCATGGAGGAGGGAGGCGGAGGAAGAGGAGGAGGAGGAGGAATGACGCCAGTGAACCGGGAGAGGGCCAGAGAGAAACACTCCAAAGTCTCAGACCTGATCAGTCGCTTTGAGGAGAACAGGTAAAAAGGTTTTTATACTTTATATACTCAGAGTGTGATGCTGGAGCCTATATCGTTTTTATCTCTTTTATAACATTAATCAGCAAAAGTGGTTTTGTCTGGAAAGTTTTTGCTGACTCAGAATATTAACCTTCCCTCTGTGTGACCTCCAAAGCAATTTCTTTTTTCATCATGACTTGTCAGCTCTGGTTGAATAACTCCATCCACGTCACTTAATGGCTTTTGTAATAAAACAAACTGTCGCAATCCCAGTGACGGAAAACTTTTGCCCTTTCCTCATGTTTCCTTTTCGGGGCTATTTCAAGGAGGGAGAAAAGCAGAAGTCTCTTTTATTAAAGTCTTGACTCACTGATAGTAGCTCAGACGAGAGCTGCAGACGGAGCGAGCACAGATTAGCCCGTGCCTTCACAAGCCAAGCGTTAGCAAAGGGGATGAAAGGAGATTTGTACAGACGAGGGGACACACAGCTTCTCATTCAATGGTGGGACAGGACTCTGTGTTGCGAGTTGAAGCCCAGGAGAACGAGGTAGGAGCTCTCAGAGAAACTCAAAAGTCTCTGCTCTTATATAGATCCTTTAGATGTTGGATGGAGATTTAAACGTTCCTTTACGCCAATCTTTTTAAGGTCGAGATCCAGTACAATAGATTTTTCTGTGTCTTACGTCTTGTTCTGTTAAGTTTGGATTGGAGCTGCAGCCCCAGAAATGTGAGCGAGGCCTGTTGATGGTGCTGAGAGGCACAACAATGGTGCCCTTGTCCCCTTCATACAGTAGAGCCCAGAAATATTCGGCAGTAGCAGCCCACCACTCAGTCTCCTTCACTCTGTAGCCTCACTCACCTCCGTCTCTGAGTTCTAAACGCAGGATTACAAAATCTAATTCCCATTCCCAGGCGCCCTCTGCACCTGTCGTCACATTTTGAATCCTGAAACGAGGTTAATAAGAGCGATGTGGTGAATCCATCCCGTTCACACTCCAGCAGGGCTGTGGGGATTAACCCTCTAGTGGAAAAGTGACAAAGGCCCGCAGCTTCAGAGAACGGAATTAGCCCACTAATAAACTAATCTGGTTCACATGGCACTGGGCTGCCTCAAAGGTGCCTCGACAGCCACATGGCAACTGAAGCTGTTGTTGAAGCTTGTGATTCGTTCAGCCTGTTTAGAAACACTGGACGTGCACTGGAAGGCTTTAGAGGAACTGTAGAGTGTGTGAGTGTGTTGTTTTCTATAAAACACAGCTTTAAGAATCCTCCTCCTGCTGATCAGGGCACATTCTACCTCAGACAAATGGAGATTATCTTTTTTCACACTTTAAACACGTCAAGTGGCTGCCAGCCCAGAAGTGTTACACCAGCCTGTTGTTCCTCTATTTAACAGACTTCCTGTTTCTACCGGACAGTCACACTTGAACAGTGAATGCCGCTGAAGCTTGAATATATATATATATATATGTCTTAGCTTTATTTGGACACAGATGCAAAATCTTTTGTTCATTTTCTACAAAAAACTGGTGATGTTCTCAGTGCTGGAGGTTTCTGCTCAGACAGGATGAGTTGTAACCGGTTTTTAAACTCAGAGGATCGACATAACTGAGCTGAGGTACAGTAGCTGAAACAGTGGAAGTCTGGAGGGTCATTTATGGGGAAACAGCTGGACTGACGGCCAGGAGAGGAAGCAGGAGCATCTGAATGGTGACATTGTACGTGTGTGTACGTGTGTGTGCGCGTGTGTGTGTGCGCGCGTGTGTGTACGTGTGTGTGCGTAAGTGTGTATGTGTGTGGTTTCCATTCCTCTTCTATATTTCAAACCTCCAGACTGCTCTTAATGTTTCATTCAAGTTGAAGCAAAACGTGAAAGCGATGTTACAGCAAAAATGTATAAAGCAGGTTCTGTGTGTGTGTGTGTGTGTGTGTAAGTAGGACAGCATCAATCACACTCGTGGGAGCTGTGTCGTACTCCTCCTCCTCCTCCTCCTTCTTACTGTACCTCCATTCCTCCTTCTCTGCACAGACACACACACACACTTCCTCTGCGTTACAGCAGCCTCTCCACAGCCTCACATGACAGAAGGAAGTTTGCACATCTCGACCATTTTATTTTTAACTCTCACACTCACAAGCTCTCACCCTCATGTCCCACACTCCCAGAGCAACGTGCCCGGGCAGAGCAGCTACTCAACAGCCTTCTGTAATCTTGTTTCTCTCTCATTTTATCTTAAGGTTAAGGTCGTTAGTTAACTCTTTCTGTTCTGTTGGTGTACTAACCCACTTCCCCCTTTTCCTTTTTGCCTCTGTTCCTGCAGCCACACAGAGAACAAGAGAGACAGCTCGCCGCTCAAGCCTGTCAGCAAGTCCACCAACTGCAGCCTGGCGCACCGCCCCAGCCAGAAGCAGACGGAGAGTGGCAGGAATCAGGAGAACCACTCCTCCGTGCTCAAGGATGACCACAAGCCGGAGGCCAACGGGGTGGTAGCACAGATGGAGCAGGACAAGGAGGACAAAAAGGAGTGTGAGAACGAAAGTGTGAGGATAGACACCACCGAGCTGGTCAATGGAGATATGGGGGACGGGGGAGCAGAGCAGGATGAGGATCATTCACCTCCACCGACAGTGAGGACTGATGGAGAAGCTGAGGACAAGAAGGACAGCGGGACTGCGACAGACAACGAGCACAGGAGTGAAGAAGGGAGCACAGACCATAAGGTACAGTGCCGGCTGATTTATTTTGTCTGTGTGATGAATTTAGAGCCTGACGGAGCTTGTTCCGTCTCGCTGCTGTGACTCTGCAGCTCAGACAAACAAACATTTATTTATACTCTGGACTTTCAGTGTAATTAAATCATCTGCTTCAGTTCCTGGGTCAGTCCGACATAGTAAAGCTTGAGTTACAAAATGTGTGTGGTCATTCCTCACTGCTGTGTGTGTGGGGGGGGGTTATTTTCTGCGAAGGCCAAGCAGATGCCAAACGTTTGAGCAGCTGTTATCTGCAGATTATAAATATCTCAGGTTGGAATCAATCTGTCTTCTCTTCGCTGAAAACAACTGTCTCAAGAGAGAGAGAGAGGAAGAGCCACAAGCTTTTAACTTTTTTTTTACTTTGGAGCCATCGCATGTTACTCAGTAAATCAAATCAAGTCATGTGACGACTTCAGTCCGGATTACTTTTGAGTGGATCTTGATCTGGTTCTTCTTTATATGATTGGTTCTTAAACACTTAATTAACCCTTCCAATCAGACAGTTCAGTGTTTTTTTGTGCTTCTTTCCCTGAACTTTAGTGGACGTCTGAGTAAATTCACTTGATTTTTATACTTTCCACCTGTGGCCGTTTGCACCGTTCATGTAAAACTATAACGTAAACCACTATACTCTGTGTTTAACACTGTCTAAAAACATTATGATGTGCATACAAAACAAGAACTCATCGGTCAGACATGTCCTGGAGAACCATCGATGTGCTGACAGATGAATTATGTAGAAAGGTAAAGCGAATTGCTCTCGGGACACTCACATAACTACGCACTGCCTTGTGGTCGCATAGTGTGAAATATTCCTCCGGGGTCATCGTTGTGTTAACTTCCCTCGGCAGGTGACAAAGACGTCAGACCTCATGTCAGCGTGCTCATGTGATTATTCTGAGCATTTCTGTACTGACTGGCCTCACACACAAACTCTGTTAGACCTTTGTGTCTTTATTTAAATTTGGCGACATTTCCCCTCTTCATTTCCTGTACTGAGCACCCTCCCTGCTACACCACAGTGTTAATCAAACACACACACACACACTACATGCTGTTGTGTACAAGCTAACAGCATTTAACACAATGCTACACTCAAACAGCAGATGAGTCACTGGGGCGTTTAACTTAAACCATGAATGATTTGATGATGAACTGTTTTCTAGTTAAAATGCAGCTTGGTGTTTCTCCACTATTCATTCTTTGATAAAAAAAAAAAGATGCTGTGAATTCAGTTCTTAAACTGACACCAGAACGAATCAGGAACTGGCAGAGAGACAGGAAGCTCAACTCGACAATAACAATGATACAGGAATGAAAACTAAGATGAAGTGAAATCAAGAGCTTGAAACAGTTTATCCCAAACTTCTGCAAAATGTTATCGTGTATGTTTGTTAGGGTGAAAGTTGTGTGTACATGAGTTAGTGTGTGGGTAAAACTAAAAACTTCACAGAGAAACTTTGAGCTCCAGTCAGATCATACTGGTCGCTCATGACTCGGAGAAGGTTGAGAACCACGACTCTCGCTGACAGAATCAGATCATGTTCATTCGCAGCTTCATCAATAATTAAAACTTGTTCAAAATCTAATTTTAAACACATAAAAATTCACACTGATGTGTGTTCTTCTTATTTTCAGGAGACCAATGAGCAGAAGCTGTTTAAAATCGCCAGCGAGCTGCTGCAGACGGAGAAGGCCTACGTAGCCAGACTGAACCTGCTGGACCAGGTAACACAGTGAAATCTGCAGCTTCTCTAGAGTTTATTTGCACCTCAACAGTGATGTGAAACCAACCACTCAAGTTTTTACATTTTCATTTCACTTTTATTGCAAAAAAAATCTTTTCAATCGTTTGTTGCTCATCAGCTCCGTGTTGTGTGTGACTCCTCAGGAGTTCTGTACGAAGCTAATGGACGAGGCTAATAAGGGAACGTTCCCTGTGGACGTGGTGAAGAACATCTTCTCCAACATCTCCTCCATCCACACCTTCCACAGCCAGTTTCTGCTTCCAGACCTGGAGAAACGCATGGGAGAATGGTGAGGTTCAGACAAATGATAAGAAATGGCACTGAGTAGAGTGAACGCTCCGTCAGGGTTCAACAATCCCCTGAAATTCAATCAAGCTGCACCAAAATTCCCATATTCACACATAAAAGTCCCCAGACTGTGCCTGATTTTTTTCCCCAGCTCCATTAATCATTCACAGGGAAAGAAGTGAAAATGTTGAAAATCAGCGCAGAGTTGAATGGGTTCTTTCAAGGCCCATGTTAATCCTTACACCAAGTTTTGTGGTAATACATCAAATTTGTTTTTGCAGAATCCAGCTGACGAAGAAACAAACAAACAAATGGACAGGGGCAAAGACATCATAATAAATGATAATAAATGTTCTGTATAAAGCTACACCATATTAAAATGAAAACTCAAACACTTAATCAAGATGTAATAAAGCTGCTGAGGATAACATAAATTGTATAAATGGTGAATAACTCATGTATACAAATAAAAAAACATAGATTGCTAACATCAATAACATGATACAGCAGTGAACTGACTTACCTCGGTCTCTCCCTCTCCCTGCAGGGCGTTGACACCTCGCATTGGGGACATCCTGCAGAAACTCACACCCTTCCTCAAGATGTACGCAGAGTACGTGAAGAATTTCGACAAGGCCATGGAGCTGCTGAAGCAGTGGACCGACCGTTCTCCTCAGTTCAAGGCCACAATCCAGGAGATACAGGTAACGTGAACCTGGATCCAGTCTGGAAAAGTTCACTTATGTTCACTGTTATTATCTAATAGGTTTTGGGTTGAATAAGTATATTTCATACAAATATGCTGAAAAATGTAAGGGGAGTAAAATAAATTGTGTTGGTTATTTTTGGACAGAGTCAAGAGGCCTGTGGCAGCCTGACGCTGCAGCATCACATGTTGGAGCCTGTGCAGAGAGTCCCTCGATACGAGATGCTGCTAAAAGACTATCTGAAGAAGCTGCCTGCGGAAGACCCTGACCGACGAGATGCAGAAAGTTAGTAGAAGCGATGTCTCATCATCTCACTGCAGGTTGACATGTTGATTTCTCTCAGGCCATATTTAGGTAACGCGTCCTTTTCTTTTTCAGAATCGTTAGAAATCATTGCCACAGCAGCGACTCACTCCAACAGCGCCATACGGAAATCTGTGAGTACAGATGTTTGGAACCTTTTTCCATTACGATTATAAGATTGTTACAAAAAATAAACAAATGTCCCGTCCGTTGTTCAGGAGAATCTAAAGAAACTGTTGGAGATTTACGAGATGCTGGGAGAGGAGGAGGACATCGTTCATCCGTCCAACGAGTTCATCAAAGAGGGCCACATCCTGAAGCTGGCAGCCAGGAACACGTCAGCCATGGAGCGATACCTCTTCCTGGTGAGAGAACGAGCCGATCGCAAGAACATTTTCACGTCTAATAAAGGGCCCTTCAGGGAAATATGTTGAGATGAGACTCCGCCTGCACGAGTCAATTGGAATATTTCATACCAGGAACATGTCTGTAAGAATCCATCAGGGGCACATGAGCAACTCTCACTGTTACGATTACAAGATGATTATGTTTTGCCTGTTTTTTATTAGCTTCAGGCTGAATGTCCCCCACATGTGCAATTTCAGAGTTTAGGGCCAGAAACCTAAACTAGAAGAGCACTGATCTTTACTCTTACAGTTCTGTAACTGATCTGTTCTCTCCTGCCAGTTCAACAACATGCTGTTGTACTGCGTGCCCAAATTCAGCCTGGGAGGAACCAAGTACACGGTGAGGACGCGAATCGGTGTCGACGGCATGAAAGTCCTGGAAACAACCAATGAGGACTACCCTCACACCTTCCAGGTGTCGGGGAAAGAGAGGACGCTGGAGCTACAAGCCAGGTGAGCGCAACGCACAAAGAGGATTGACGCTTATTTAAAATAAATCTTTCTTGTAATTGTAGAAGTTTTGTTACAAACCACGTAAAAGGTGCAAAACATCTCATTCCCTCCCACACTGCAGAATGTAATTGTATGTAATTTGTACCTCGTACAGTATAATGACCAAACCCAGGGTTCATTTTTAAATCTTGTAAATCTAAATAAGCTCTTTGACCTCAGCTAATTACCATGTTGGTGTAATTATAAGGGAATCAGAAAGACAAGTTATTTGTTTTTGTTGCTTATTCTGTTTTGTTTTTCCTTCTCAGCTCCGAGCAGGACAAGGCGGGCTGGATTAAGGTACGTTAAATACAATCACAATGGTTTTTACATGATTTACTTATTTGATTACATGAGCTTGAATCTTGTTTAGAATGATTACAATGTTGTTTATTTATCCTCCAGGCTTTCCGGAAGACCATTGAGATCTTCCAGCAAAAGAACGAATCCTTCAAGAACGCATTAAAAGATTCGGAGGAAGTGTCGGTCAGTGTCACGTCACAATTGTGCGCTCAACGTTTAACTTTTCTGATCCGTCGTATTGACCTCTGTCTTTAATTTAATACAGAAAGCGGAGCTGGGGAAGCGTGCCCCTCGCTGGATCCGTGACAATGAAGTAACAATGTGCATGACATGTAAAGAGCCTTTCAACGCTCTCACACGGCGGAGACACCACTGCAGAGCCTGCGGCTATGTAAGTTTTAGCTGCAGTGGAGCAAAACCTCATGCGTGCAACTGTAAACACACCAGGAAGTTTTCTTCACCCTCAGCGACCCAGAAGCTTTAATGTGTGAAGTCTCTACCTCACCTGGGAGACTGACAGATCTTGTCTCCCTGTTTCCTCCAGGTGGTGTGCTGGAAATGTTCAGACAACAAGGTGCCGCTCGAATATGACGGCAACAAGATGAACAAAGTCTGCAGGGACTGTTTCCCCATCCTGACTGGAGAAACAGTAGCTGGGGGGAAGAAGAAGGGAATACTGGAGGTAAAGATAATGCATTGATGACTAGACCTCTGCCAAGGTCCAACAGCCTCATTAATTCAATCAACTAACCTACTGAAGGATGAAAACATGACCTCTTTGGCGTGGTTAAATATACGAACGTGTTTGGATCCTCGTTAGCATGCAGATACATCGATCATCTAATTTAATCTCATTCTGTGGTCGTCCTCTGCAGATCGAAGCAGCTCAGTTCTCTGGCAGCAGCATCATGTGTGGCTTCCTTCAGTACTGCGAGAAGAACAAACCCTGGCAGAAGGTTTGGTGCGTCATCCCTGAGAAGGAATGTCTGGTGCTCTACCTCTACGGAGCTCCACAGGTGAAACAGAGACAGAAAGCTCATCTGGAAAAACAGAACAAATATTAATTTAAAAATCAATCATATCGATAACTGTCTTCTCTCTCCCAGGACGTGAAGGCCCAGTGCACAATCCCCCTCCTGGGTTACTCAGTGGACGACAGCGTGCGGCCCACAGACACTCCGTCCACCTTCCGCCTCTCCCAGTCCAAGTCCGTGCACAACTTTTCTGCTGAATCCGAGGAGCTCAAGCAGCGCTGGCTGAAAGTCATCCGGGTGGCAGTGAGGGGAGAGGTGCCAGAATGCCCTCACACCAACGGCACCAACGCAAACGTGACGGACGACAACAGCACACAGGAGGCGGCGACTGACAGCTCATAAAGACCTTTCTCTGCAGGCAAACCGCTGTGGAACTTTTGCTGTTGTTTTGCTCAAGAAAGACAGAGATGTGCGGGTGTGTCTCCATGACGCCTTCGAATCTGAATTCTGAAGATTAAGTGGACGAAAAGAAATCAGTGCTGGATAAGCTGCCTTTCCTTGTAGCTCTCCTGTTCCCAGTTTCCTCCTGGACATGCTCCTACACTTTGATTCAGAGCTGCGCTGGATAACTAAAGGACCTCTGGTACAATCAACACTAGAGCAGAGGAGATTCTTGGAAGTCCCTAAGACTCGCACTGTTATTTAAGAACAGCTTAAACTCTATAGTCTTCATGGACCTCGGCCAAATCCTCTTGAGCCAGTGGACGACAGGACGATCTGCACAGGACGTGAATCAAAGCTAAAAGACGGTTCAAACTATGTCTGCTGGTGCTGTGACTCAGCTGTGTACATGTATAGTATAAATGTTTGTTTTTTTCTTTTTTGAAAAGGAACACCTGTGTTTTTAATGTACAGAAATCAGAAAGCCATCTAAGTATGATATGAAATCATTCTCAGTATTGTGCCCCTTTTTCTGTGCTGAAGACGATGGTTTCAAAAGTGAGAAAATGACTGTGTGCTGGAGATAGTGATCATTCTCTCATCACTCTAATCAGACTCTGAGCTGATGTGTCTGTCTGCTCTGAAGCTGGGTGCACCCATTCTATGAATTTGCTAATCAAACCAGTTTTGAATAAACATAGACGGATAGATAAGAATAAATACATTTTAAAAATCTATCTTAAAGTCAACTCAAAAGTAAAAGACAGCAAGTACTTTTAAATATACTCAAAAAGTACTTACCGAGTGTATCCTGTTCCCTAATTAGGGAGTCTACTACATCATTATGGCTTAGTCTGGGCCATTCAATCAAGCTTCTATAAATTGCACACACTATATATAGATATCAGACGTAGATATCAAGAGCCATAAATTATTAAACAGTGAAAATATTAAAAAACGCCCATTGTAAAATCTTACGTTACAGAAAGCGACAAATTTCCTGGATTTGCACCAAAACTTTAAACCCTTCCACCAAGAGCTGTGGAAATCAGTTCAGTAGTTTTTGTGTTATCTTGTTTACAACAAACAAACAGACAGGGGTGAGAACATAACCTTGTTGGCGGAGGTTAATATGAAAAGCAAAAGTAAAAGGGGAAATAAATCTACCTAAGTACAGACACAAATTATACTTAGTCACATCCCATCAGTGGCAACTTTAACTGTTAAAACTATTTTTACAGCTTGAGCTGAAATGTCCCTTTAAAATAACAGTTTAAATATTATAGAAAATGGCGTAACTTGACAAATCTTAGAATTGTGTTTTATCTTTGGTTGTTCAACCCCACAGCCTGAACAGTTTGTATTAACATATTATAGTTCAGGTTTGAATATATCATAGAAAGCGATGGATGATAAACCTCAACGAGCAAAACGGAGGATAAATATCAAACGGTCGTGCAGCTGCACAGCAGCAGAGCTCAGTTCATGTAAAGAGAGATGAGCAGGGATCCTCGTTATCTGGGTACATTTCTCTTCACATGCAAATCCAGCACAATCCCAGACAAGCTGTCGTAGGAGAAATGTAAGTGTATTTTAATGCTGTAATTATTATTTAAAAGTAATTTATAGAGAATGACAAGCATGATCTGTTGATAGTAGCACAACATTTGTTCCCTCGCTGTCCACTTAGAAGAAGTAGGCAGATGTTGTTTCTTTTTCTATGAGCAGATGTATTTCCTCTAACTCTACAAACGCATCACCTCGGTTCTTCAGTGGGACAACGACCAGTCGTAGCACTGGAGGGACTAAAGGGGGAAAATGTGCCTATATTCTCCACAGTGAGCTTCTTCATTCACAACATCCTCTCGTACTCAATGCTGTTGCTCAGCCCTCTGAACTCTTCCCCCTCCTCAGTATTCAAAAAAAAAAAGAAAAATCAAGAGCACAAAACATCCCTATCTGTAAGATCTGAATGTACATCCTATTTTATTGTCCCTTCTTCTCCTGCCCCCCCAAGGATTGAGAATCTACGCACTTTACAGTCCTATAAAGTGTCCCTTCAAAGAAATAAAACAAGATTAATGAAATATAACGTATGTGCGTCTAGCTCAAGTTTGTAGTGTGATTGTACTTCAGTGAGGCGACAGTGTGAGTCACAGTGATGTTACTTTCACAAAGAAACGTCTTGTGTCGTTTCCTCATTTTGCACAATTTTCACAGTGAGTCACGATTCTAAAAATGGGTAAAGTTAGTAGTTGCTCATTGTTCATTAGAAATGGTCGATACTATGACAGGGTCACGTTTAAACAAGTTTAATTTAAGACTTTGGAAGATCATAAAGAATGAGATTGACTCATGTCAAGTACGAAAGATTTTTAGGAAAATCTGAGTCAACAGACTTACTAACAATTTCCTCTAAATAAAGATGAGGGGAAGTAGCCGAGTAGAGAATAACTTGAAATATCACATTATCTCTCATACAGAGACAGTAGGTTCAAATCTTTGTCACTGCCAAGTCCAGTGTGCATGGAGACACTAAAAGACATCTCATTTAAAAAAACAATGGAAGTATCGAACGTTGACATAAGAGCAACCTAAACATATTTAAGACCTAGTACATAAAATTCCATGTATTCAAAACTTTTTTAGACCTAGAATTCAGATAATTTAATTTTAAAGTTTTAGTACAGAAACAGAAACCCTGTACAAAAGATGAAAGTGATGAATTAAGAACCGAAAATGTCTACACAACTAAAGCTCGTCTGACAAACTGAGAAGTTCTCAGAGGGAAAATGTGGCTGTGAAACAGAATCGAATCAGGAAGTCGTTTTCTTTTCATACCGTGTAAACTCTCATAACTACATGTCAGGCCACAGTGACTCCACTTTAACATTTGTACTTACACTATCGGTTTAATTTTGCTGTTTGGTTTGTGTGAACAAGACAAGAATTTAACAGACATAGAAAATTTTTATTTTCACAAAAGAAAAAAAAAAAATCTAATCAAACAAAACCATATCAAATTCTTCTTAACGAGTAAAACTTCCATGTTAAGTGTGTTCTGCAAGTTCGATTCCTCGGATCTTGTACAATGTTAGTCAAACATTCAGATTGCTCACACAGAATGTATCACGTGTTGTGACGGTAGTGACATCCCATAATATTTAAGAGAGGAGCTGGGACAGGACAGTAAAAAGGATGTCGCAAGAAAAAAGCAAACCGATCGAAAAAAGTCTGAGTCCTTGGTTTCCTGGAGAGGCTCGTCTTTTATGCTTGGCAGAGGTTTCGTTTGAATAAGAGTGAAATTTACGTCTGAGCCAGTCTTTGTCTTTGTGTCTCAGCTTTTGGGCTGTCGGAGCAGACCACGGATCCGGCGAACCAGGGCCTGGATGAAGGTATATCGGGAGCGGACTTGGCTGTACAAGCCCTCCACCTCCAGCAGCTTCCTCTGCAGAGCTTCTCCGAATCCTGCAACCATGTCGCTCTTCAGCTGCGTTCACGCAAACAGGAGACAAACAGGAATTATGAATAACGTAGGTGTAGAGATGCTGTACACGTGTCCAGAGATACAACACTTGTTAACACAATATGTTTGTTAGAGCTTAAATCACAACTATAAAGTTTTGTTGTACAAAAATCTGCGTGCAACATGAACACATCCATCTCTTACCAGATCAAGGTCTTGCTGGCTGACTCGGGACAGACTGAGTCCACGGCTTCCACTTGGCTGCAACCCCCCGAATGAGTCTGAAAAAAAATAAAGGTAAAATACATAAACACTTAATGAAACTTATGCCATTTTCACAGCCAGGGGTGTTTTTTTTAAAATGCTTCCAAAGACTAAGATCAGATGTGAATATATCTGGAATACATCTTCTCACCATCTGTGAGACGAGATCTGTACAAACTGGCTCCGGGCAACAGAGAGTCCTTGGGGTCAGTGGGGGAACAGTGCAACAGGTAGTACTCCAGGTGGCGCCACAACACAAACAAACAAGTCTCTATAACGTCTGAGAAAAGAGGGAGGTCAAGGCAAAACAACTCATGATGGGACAATTGTACTCGGTGTTACTTGAAGTACAAACATACAACAACCAGTGATGGACGCTGGGTCATAAAACAGCCCTCTAGTCTGAAGATGTTTGTCCTGTCATTACAACTGTGCCCGCCTGGGGCCAAAGAATACAGGAGCACAGGGCCAGCAGCTTGGCTCTGTTGTTGACGAGCTGGACCAGTCGTCTCTTGGCCAACAAGCTCCTCTGCACTGAGGAGATTTTCTCCACACCTCCGGGTCCTGACACCAAACCCTGGCACAACTACAGAGAAGACGAATGTGCTTAGAACTCACGACAAATCACGTGGGAGACAAAACAGTGATTAAAATAAAGCAGTTCATTTTTATTCATTCGTTTGTTTACTTGAACTTTAAAATAAAACAGTTTGCTCATGCGTACAATGGTGTGGTGACTGTGAGACAGGGTGAATCTGTCGATCATTACCTCCTTGAGCTCCTCTGGAGGCAGCTGATCCAGACTCTGCAGTTTGCTCAGGCTCTGTCTGTGACTCTGGTGGAACCTGAAGAAATCTGCAGCACTGTTCTTCAGCAGGTAAAGAACCAGACCCAGACTTGGAGCTCGAGAGTAAGCCATCGAAGGCAGAGTGGATGAAAGATCTAAAAAAATTAATTAAAAAAAAAAAGATTTCAGTCTCATACTTGTTTATCTTCAAGTTACCTTTCTGTGAACCTCAAGATTTCTAAACTGATGTATCAGATTTCAGACATTTCACAAACAGGAGAGGACAAACAATGAATGTATTATCAACTGGAGCTTGGTTACAAAGTGTAAAGTGACATGAGTTCAATTCCTGTTCCTCTGCTTTCGTATATGGGCCGAACATCACTGACCTGTGCGTCCTCCGTCCCTGCCAGCTGGCTCGCTGCCCGACGGGCTGAACAGGCAGATGCTGAACTGAGCCTGGGTGGAGCTCTGCAGCAGCAGCGTCTGGCAGTACTCCATGATGTTGGCACACACCTGGGGACAGAGGACACCATCTCTCAGGGTCACTGACAGTGCAGAAGTGATGAATAATCATGACTGTGGAAAGAAGACTCCACACACATTACATCAGTGTCTTTCCTCTCTTCTCTTTACCATTATACAGTTTGATAACCTGAAATCAGTCCAACGGGAACAAGGTATGACTAGTTTACTGTATTTAACACTTGTCAAACCTGTTGCATGGCCACCTCCATCTCCTCTCGTCGTTCTGCTGAATCTCTCGGCACAGCGATCTCAGCCTGCTTCAGCAGCCTCTCCCGCTCGCTCCCCACCAGATAGCCGAGCAGAGATAGACACAGACGCTAGAAAAGATCAAACATGTTACTAACTGTGCTAAGCGGCCAAAAACACATTTCATAGAGTTAAAAGCAAAACCAGTCTCACCTGGAATCTGTTTATGTGACCCTGGAACTCCATAAGAGCTGCACTGTTGACCTCCCCACCCACCTCCAGGGCACCTGAGAGAACACACAGTTCATGACCCACACCATCAATCACACGCAAAGATGTGTGTGAATATTTTACAGAATGGAAACACTTTCAGGTTTATGTGCTTGGTTTTCTTTGTACCTGGCAGAGCTGTTTTACTGATGATGCCCGTGAGCAAAGAGAGCTCCTGCAAAGATCCCATGCTGAGCTCATGACAGCGCAACAAGGACTGAATGGTGTCTGCGTGGACTATTAGCCACTGAAGAACCTGGACATACAGACACACAGGAAAAATTGGGTAAATGGACAGGTAGGGTCCAAGACACGAGGTAGAATATGACCTGATGACGAGTGACATGCTGAATTTTAGGATTTTAAGGGTAAGATTTTGAAATAAAACAATCTTCTTAGCTTACCTGTGCTGCCCCCTGCTGGTGATTCACACTGGTAGATGTAAGGATGACCTGAAAGAGTCTCAAGGTGGGTAAGAGAATCTGCCTGTAACGATCCATGGGACTGGGGATGAAGCCTGACGGGTCCCGCATCACCCTGGAGACCACAAGGGAACATACACAAACATGAGGAATATTCAGAACAGATGTATAAACAATATGTAATATAAAGGATAAAGGACACTACATTTAAAACACTGCCTGACTTTTCTGACGGCAGCGAAGAAGCTTTTAGTTGTGGTGAGCAGGTATCATCATAGCACAGAGGTTATAAATCTATTTAAGAATAATTCAAGTGTGAGGAATTTGTTTTTTCGAGATATTTTATCCCAAAATTAAAAATGCATTTTATTCTTCCCTTTCCAGGCCTGTACCTGTGTGCATCACTGTCAGGCACCATGTCAAACACCTGACACTCCATCAGCTGCACCACAAGTCCACAACGCAGCAACTCCACAGCTCCCTGGCCTGTCTTAGCCACACGAGTCATCAGAGCCTAAAAACACACAAATGAGATGGTACCTTCATGATCTTATATTTACACAAAAATAGGGCTCTGACTTTCCAACAACCAGCACAAAACATAGCGTTTCTCTTTAATAGTATTTCAGCTATCAATGTCTCCTCACCATCTTGCTCTCATAGATGTAGAGTGGTTTGAGGAGTGGTGGCTGAGGTGTGAGCAGGGTCTGCAGGGCGGCATCATCTCGTCTCAGGCTCTCCACTAGCGACCGCAGGTAGCCACTGTTGCACACGTACACCAGCCACTGATTCTGGCGATCTATTGACAGGATCCGGTCCAGCACGGCCAGGGCCAGCATCTGTCGGACGTGGAGATGAGATGAGGAAGTCAAAAGAGGCACTTTGTAAGAAAGAGGCAGGATAGGTGAGAGAAAGGATGCTTTTATCACAGCTGACTCTACAAATTTGGACTCACCACAAAATTGTCTTGAACAAAATACATCAAGTATTAAAGCATTTATGCATCTTTAATGATTCAAGAGCTTATATAAAATCAGAACATCAGGTTGAATCTGGCGAAAATAAGCATTAAGTCATATTGTTAGAGAAAACATATGGTTTGGTTCATACCCGGCTAATTTCATGGCCGTCACAGGCGTCCCTGCACACAACCTCCATGAGAGA